CTTACATGACATTTCACCACACGGACAACTCCTACATTTCGCCTAATAAGTAGTACGCCCATATCTTGCACTTCAAATATTTTTCACTTTAAAATTACATGTCCTCTCGTGTAATTTTCAAGCTTTGTCAAGCTTACCCAAGCACATTGGGCCCTCCCCCCCCCCACCCCCCTATGTACTATTCGCACACAGATACTAAATTGGATGCTCAATATATAATACGATATCATGAATAACTTGGCGCAATTTCCTTTTGTGCTGTATATCCAGAAACTTTTACTACACAGAATCATAGAATCTTGAACGGCGGCTGGGGTTTTTGTCTGATATTGTTTGTTTTCTCTGTTACGAAATCTGATCCTATAGAATCAAGTAAATTGTATGTGGCTGATTTGCCGTCTAAAAGTGGTTTCTACGCGTTTTTTGCCCCCAAGCAACGCGCGGTACCCGCGCTATTGGATTAGAAAGGTAGGCAGCACAGACTATTCAGTACTATCCGTTGCGCCAGTCACAATAACAACCGACGCACGGCCGCGCCGCGAGTTTTTTTTTCCCAGTCGACATATCCGTTGCAGCGATTTTAGACTGTTCTGATTGGCTGTCACGTCACGTCACTCATCATTCAATCAGAAATGAATCATCATGAATAAAGCCTCCTGATTGGTTGCAAAAACAGGCTGCTTGGCTGATTTACCAATATGGCATGTACTGTTTCTATATATATCCTGATGTGGCGTGTGTCGGACTAAGAACATCTTCGTTACTGTCTGAAGGTCGTTGCTGTTTCGAATCCGGATTTGTTTTTAATTATTTTTTTGTTTTCTGTATTTTGTTCTACTTATCCATATAACTATTATTTTCTACATTAACGGAAAATTTTGCATGGAATTGATTTACAAGCAATTAAATATTTGAGAAAAATTTTTTTTTATAATTTAATTTTATTTATTAGTTGCTTAAAGGTGACGATTTCAGAATATTCAAATAATGATATTTATCAAGAAATGCAATATATATATTATAATAAAACATCTAGAAGAAGATTTGTCAACGCGATTTAATTTATGTAAATCATTGAAAAATATCGAGAATGCAAAATATAGTTAAAAACATCGTCTGCCTTATTCTGAGTCAGTGCATACCCCTGCCTTCGGTAATGCATCGGGCTCTTTTCGGCGGATTCGTGACGTCAACAGTTGTCAAACAGATACTCTGAGGTCACTACAAAGGCAATTGATAAGTTGAGGTATTATTCGCGTTTTATTAATTGATTGACCCAATATCATGGTTGTATGTTCGGCAGTCTCAACTGCACAAATGGAATCTGGAAGTGGCTGATCAGTTTCAGCGCGTATTCCAGAATGTGAAGGAATGATGAGACAGGAACTTGCGCGTGAGAAATGGTTGGAGAACGAAGGGAGGGGGAGAAGCTGGTGGAGGAGAGGAGGGGGAGAAGGGAGGAAGGAGGGGGGGAAGCTGGTGGAGAAGGAGGAGGGCGAGAAGGGAGAGCTGGTGGAGGAGGATAGAGGGGGAGAAGGGAGAAACGGTGGTGCGAAGAAGGAGGGAAAAGGAGAGAGGGGGGGGGGGAAGGAGGGGCGGGGGGGGGAAGAATCCAGGGTGGGAAGTCGGATCGTATCACGCCAACGGACAAAAAACGGGGGGGCGCGGTCGATCTGCTATTTACTCTGGGAGCAACACCGCGGAGAAGCTGCGTGGATAAGCGAGCGAGGGGGGAGAAGGAGAAGCTGGTGGAGGAAGAAGGAGGGGGAGAAAGCTGGGTGGCAGGAAGAAGAGGGGGCAGAAGCGGGCAGAAGCTGGAGGAGAAGGAAAAAGCTGGTGGAAGAAGGAGGAGGCCGGGAGAAGGGAGAAGCTGGTGGCAGAAGCAGAGGGGGAGAAGCTTGGTGGCAGGGAGGAGGAGGGGGAGAAGGCGAGAAGGAGAGGGGGGAGAAGCTGGTGGAGGAGGAGGAGGGGGGAGAAGGGCAGGAAGCTGGAGGAGAAGGAGAGTGGAGAAGCTGGTGGAGAAGAGGAGGGGAGAAGGGAGAAGCTCGGTGGAGAAGGCAGGAGGGGGAGAAGGAGAAGGTGGTGGAGAAGAGAGGAGGCGGGAGAAGCTGGCTGGGAAGGAGGAGGCGGAGAGGGCAGAAGGTGGTGGGAAGGAGGAGGGCGAGAAGCTGGTGGAGAGTAAGGAGGGGGAGAAGGGAGAAGCTGGTGCTGAGAAGAAGGAGGGCGGAGAAGCTGGTTGGAGGAGGAGGATGGGGAGAAGGGAAGAAGGAGGAGGGGGAGAAGCTGGCTTGGAGAAGGGGAGGGGGAGAAGGGAAAAGCGTGGTTGCGAGAAGGAGGAGGCGGAGAAGCTGGTGAGAAGTAGAGGGGGAGAAGGAGAAGCTGGTGGAGAAGAAGGAGGGGGGAGAATGCTGAGTGGAGGAGGAGGATTGGGGAGCAAGGGAGAAGGAGCGAGAGGAGAAGCTGGTGGAGGAGGAGGAGGGGAGAAGGGAAGAGTGGTGAGAGAAGAGGAGTGCGAAAAGCTGCGTGGAAGGAGGAGGGGGAGAAGGGACGGAAGGAGCGCCCCGGTGAGAAGTGGTGGAGAACGGAGGAGCCGGAGGGAGAGGGAGTAAGAGCGAGGTGAGAAGGCTGGTGGAACGAGAAAGAGGAGGGGGAGAAGGGGAAGACCAAGGAGGAGGGGGTGAGAAGGCTGCGGTGGAGGAGGAGGAGCGGGGAGAAGGAGAGAAGCGAGGAGAAGGAGGAGTGGGAAGCTGAGTGAAAGGAGGAGGGGAAAGGAGAAGGTGGTGGAGAAGAGGAATTATCTTCTAAATGTAAGGCGTCGCCTTTTCACAACGAGTACATTTGTTAAAAAATGATAACTTTAGTACAAGAGAAATCCGAAAGATTTAATTTAGTTGATTATTGTTATTTTTGAATGCTTGCACCAATAGTGCTCCCCCAGTGAAATCCCGAGTGTTTGTTTACTTCGAACGAAGTGACAAAATATAGGGTTAGTGATACAATTTAACTATAAACGACTGTAATATAAAAAAAATCATACAACTGTATCGCCACAGTTTTTGTGTGTGAAAATTAGAGTAGTCACTCTAGTCTTCTTAGAAGAAAACTGCCAGTCTGTAGTTCCTCTCTAACTGCAGGTCCAGGTGACGATGGCGTACTTGTGCGTGCCGTAGCAGGGATCACCGCCAAGGCCATCGTTAGTGGCAGCGATCGTGCAGCACTCCTGGCCGTTGCAGTGGGAGACGTAATCGGTGACCTTGTTGAACTGACTGCAGTTGTTTGTGTTGGTTCCAGGACAGAGACCGGCCGAACCCGGCTGCCGGCCGTACGCCACGGACGAAATTCGGATCCGGGTGTCGTCGGGGCAGCAAATGTTGCCGGAAGACCATTCACAGATTGCCTGCCGGTAGGTGACACTCTGTGCCGATGCGACCTGCATAGACGAGTGTATCCCACGCCGTTAAAATGGGATTGTTAATCTAGCTGCATGGGGGCGGCTCTCGTCAAAGTCTCACAAAAGTTTATCCTTAACGTCAATGCACACTATCAATACCCTACTCACTCTCCCTTAATAATCCGTATAAGCAATAATCCGTAAATTTATAACCGTGTTTACTATACTATGAATCCCCGTACGAACTTGTCATATTCCTTCGGCATATGTATAACTAGTGTGAGGAAAAAATATTGCTATGCCATTATACGTTTTGAGTAAACCGCCAAACGTCCACAAAACTTCTGAGATGAGCGAATATTTACGTAGCATTTATGTGCTTTCCAATGCGTCGCATCATATCAAACGCGCAAACATATTATAGCATAATATTAGAATAGAAAATACAGAATTATTGGATTTGCGGATAAATATAGATTATTATACTCACACAGAGTAGTGCCAGCAGGATGCAACCTACGATGATTGAGCTCGCCATCTAAACGTACATAATACGCCATTGCTATCAATACATATAATGTCGTCATCTATCTTTCGTATCAGAGACTAATAACAACATTAATAGTAAAGCTGAATTTTAAGGCCAGTGTAAGTGTAATGAATGTAACAGAATTCGCGATCATCTCCATGCGGACACATGATGGGGTTTCTCTATTGTAAAGATGTCATCAGTTATCGATCAGTTATCAATCACAATATATCGCAATTTTTGGGGATATTCTGTCAACTATGTCAATGATAGTATCAACATAAGTAATAATATACTCACAAAAATCGGTTGTACAACAAACGACGGTTATGATCGGGTAAATATAGTCGATAATTCTTTGTTGTTTTCCTGCGTTGCTCACTGNTTTGATAGTGTAAACGTGTTCAGAGTGATACTACATGACGGTTGACTCGTCTGGGCTAATCTTAAAACCATGTCAGGGATGGGTGGTGCGTGCTCGTACAGTCCATCATGCCTTTTCACATAGGAGCATAATCTGCCTCTCTATTTTAACTGCTTTGGCACAGCTAGATCCTGCTAGTGTCTCAAGGTGACAAACAAGGATGTAGTAACTAGTTTTTGAAAAATCCGGGATTAGAGGTTCCTGGTACTTACTTTAGGAAACTGGCGCCTTAATTGTAGCAATTGGATTGTAAAATATAAATGCATAATTTTGACGGCCCGAGAGTATTTATTAGTTTTAATACACGCTCGGACAATGATGCGTTAAATTGCTATGTTGCAGTATGGGGAGAGTGAAATCATAATAGATTCTAAATAACGCACATTCGAGTAAACCTCAAATATGCCAACTTTCGGACATGAATGTTGTATATATCATATCCGCCTAATTTATTTGTTTACGAATTTCAGAAATACGTTGCATTATTAATCATCTTTATCCCAACATGTTCCGGAAGAGTATGAATATAAGAAAATCAGCCTCGCCTCCATATCCTGCATAATATATATATATATATATATATATATATATATGCGCGCGCGTGTGTGTGTGCGTTCGTGCGTGCGTGCGTGCGTGCGTGTGCGTGTGATCGTAAACTGTACGATCATGCATATTTTGTATATGTAAAAATAAACATGATCGAGGGTCCAAACTAGAGAGGACACAATCATNATCCGCTAAGACATGAAGATAAAACTTTTGTCTTTGTAGCTAGACGCCTTTCTTTCTTTATAGTCTCGCGCCCTGCTTATCGACAACTAGATCAACGTCTTAAAACACAAAATTTCCTCGACTCGCATTCCGCGTCACTATCAAAATCTGATGTGTGGCTGTTTAAATGGGGGAAAATCACGCCATCTACATCCGCTTAACATAATAGAAATTATACTACATGTATCTGGTTAGTTCGTGCAAATAAAACAACATCCCACCTCAGAAAATGTATTTAATATAATATATATATATACAACTATGATAGGATTATAATAGATATACTACTACTATTAATAATATCAATATATATAAGTCCCGATGATTCATCAACTGTCGTGCATTTTGGTACATAACCCCTGCATTGAACCTCTTACGTTCCTATGTCTTTTAGCTCATCTTGCATAGCAGATGCAAGGCTGTAGACTCGCTTTATCGTCCGTGACGCGTCCGTGCGTCCGTCCGGTCGTCCTCCGTACCGTCACAGTTTGGGCAACAAATTCTTTAACCCAGCGCCGTCGACGTACGGTCACGATTAAACGACCGATCTTGCACATGGGGGGGGATCATGTCAAATCTGCACTTAGTGGCTGCGAGGCTGGGTTCAAAGTCAAAGTCAAGAGTGTAAAGAAGGGGGAGCATTAACTCCTTAACTTAAGTAGAAGGGAGAAATGGCCAGAATTGCGCCACAAATCTAAACGGCTCGACTAGCTCGTTGATAGTCGGGTGGTATCTAGCATCATGGAGGAAAGCCATCAGCTGTGCGAAATTGTAGGTCACAGGTCAAAAAACAGGTAAATGGTCCAAGGTTTTGACAGGTTCAGATTTTAAAAAATTTTCTGATGACATTGTCTGAAGGAAGGCGAGAATTGAAAAACTTTATTTTGTTTCAGCGTGACCTATGCAATTCCATTTTATAGACTTTATGAAAACCATGATATATTCTCTTCTGCGACATGCGAATCATTATGTTCGTTGATAACCTTTTGACCGTCAAGAGGAGGAGGTGAGAAACACATTGGATTTATTGTACTGTGATTAACAAAAATTTGAACTGCGTCGGCTTCTGCTATTAGACGGCCCCCTCGCCCCCGCGAGCCTCCCCCCTGTCCCCCTCCCCCAGCCCCTCCTCCCCCAGCGCTCTCTATGCCCTCCCCCGACCCTCCATCTGCGATAGTGGGCGTGTCCTAACAATGATGTGTACGCAACTGCGTGTCTGCATATCTGCGCCTAACAAATGTGGTACTACGCACGACTGAAATTTTACGTTTATAATCGTAGCAACAGACCTCAGATGAGCCCAGACGCTCTGCGGCTCTTGTTATGATTATTTTTGCATCTTACTTTTTGTTTTTATATTTGTTGTTGCCTGTTTGTTTGCTTCTTATACATGTCGCTGCTGTGGTGCATGTTCTTGCTGTTGTTGTCGTCTTGCTCTGCTACCATACTGGCTGTTGTTCGCCGCGGTTGCCATAGAATAACCAAGTGTGATATATCTGCCTATAAACAAACGCATTCTGTATTGAACATTTGCGTTGATCTTTTCATCGCAGCCGCCCGTGCTGGGAAACACGTCACAGAACACAGTCAGAAGAGAACCCCTATTTAACTCGCGAGCGCCGTTTGTAGACAAATGTTTACACGCCGTGCGGCCGCGAACCGAATTCCAAGCCTGCCATTGTGTTAGTCTTGCGCGAAATCGGCCCGGAGGCAGGGCCAGCGTTACTCGTGTTTGCAAGCCGACTTACGGGGCCGCGATGAGCGACTGCGAGTCAGTGCGTGCGCGCGTGCGGTGTCAGTGAGAGGCGAGATGCCAAGCGACCCGGTTCGTCTGCTCTGCTCCCGCCCCGCTGCCGCTACCCCAGCCGCCCTCAGCCGTGCGACCACGACGCGTCTGCGAGCCACCACCCGTAGCAGCTCCGTTAGTCGTAGCCTGGTGGAGAAACTCAGCGAAAGCGCCTGCTTCGTATACGTGGAGCCCGGGATATCAGGAACGTGAGCGAATCCGTCGGGGACGTGAGCGAAGCGTCATACTCATACAACTGTATAGACTTACGTCTAGACGTTCGCGCCTTATAGGAGGTGTACAACAGTAAGCCTCCGCAAATTGTTCACCGTTGCACTATATCGTCTCTAGAAAATGCATTTTTTCGCATTTTTTTCCGCAGAAATTCGGCACTAGAGTGCAATAAGTTGCATTATGCACGCAAGTTAGATGCCTCGTAGACGTCTAGAAAGCATTAGAAGTAAAATTGGTCTTGTTGTGTATTCGTGACATTCCGTCAGGTGGCGTAGCCACAGCGACCGGCTGGCGATTTTTGTGTATGAAATGTGATCCGACTACTTTGTAGAAATTCGCGTCATAGAGCTGGAAAAGTTTCGAGCGGAGCATAGAGCATGAATCTGTAGTTATTTAACATGAATAAAGTGTATCTTGTGTAAGCGCAGTAACAGTTTGAGTATTTTTAATTACTTTCTGTTCGATGCTTGTTCAGGCCTGCAGCCTATGGACGCCCTCTACTGTTGTTCAACAACGACGGGTGAGTGGAACGATACCCGTCCGCGAAGCAGACTACTTACACGGAGACGGCGATCACTACTCAATACGAATTCTCCTATTTATGTCGATTGCTCGAAAAGTGGTTAAGTTTGCTAATCGAACAGTTCGAAGCAAACTTTTGTGTTGATCTGATATGGTATGTAAATAAAAGATCACAAGCTGTACTTCGTTAAATTTCGTGCACTTATTGTGAAAATGAAAATACAAATAGAACTATTTCATCTATCTTGAGTGAGCGCAAGAATGCATGTCAAATGTGAAAATAGGCCTAGAATGTTTCCTAGTGTAGTGGCCGTAGGGGTGGCCACACTGGACTTTCACACGTGCTGTGGTTAGCACGTGTAATTTATTTGTGTCGGGATCATTTTTCGCTCCTACCGCGAAGGTAGGACGGTGATGCAGTAGCAGGAAAACCTAGAGTGAAATGAACGCAAGTCCTTATAGATTGTCTTTATACAACTGATGGTTTTATTCATCATATACAAATAACGTGAATAACGCTCACTGCACGTATCTCGAATATAGCGTAAAGATATATATATAATATATATTGCTCGTGCTGCGTTTACGTTACCTCGTTAGGTGATTACACGTTTAACTTCTCTTAGCTATTCTACGGGTTAATATTGTAGCCGTCTCTGTCTCTCCCAGTCGTGCGCTTTGCGGCTCGGCGCGAGTTCGTGGGTTGGCAGTGTGTCTCCCTGTCGTGTGTAGGCTATAGCTCCCTTAGTATAAGGTATACCTTCTCGGGCGTTGTCCTGCTCGTAGGTGGCTCTCCCTCCGACGGTGTGTGTGCGCTCTCTCTCCCTCAATCGCTCGTTCGTTCGTTCGTTCGTTCGTTCGTTCGTTCGTTCGTTCGTTCGTGGTCGTCCGAAGACTGACTGATTTTACGGTTGGCTCTCGGCTGCTTATATATGACCCTGCGGTGACGTAGGAAGCTGGCAGTACCTCCCTCTCCCGTACGTCGGGTGCCTGGCCGTTGCCTCCCCCCTCGCTTAACACGTGTACAGGTGATGCAATCCCCTTGGTCCAGTGTATGTCCGAGCGTCACACCCTCTGTCTGCCACGTGCTCGGCTAGCGCCGCTCTCTCGCCCGGCGCGTGTACGTGATGGCGCAACACCCTGATCTCCCACATTTGGTAGTCATGGGACCTCTTCCCCCTTGAGGGAAAACTTTCTACCTCTGTTGCGGTGGCTGGTCTCTGGTTGTATGACGTCACCCCCCCTGAAATCTCCACAACTCCCCCCCCCTGAAATCTCCACACTAGTCCTTGTCACAAGCTCCATATAGACATGCAGCGAACTGGCAGCGTACCAGTCTATGTTTACGTCCAACTTCTCAGCTATGTACAAACGACCTATGACCCCGTGACGTCATAGGGCTCCAGTGCGTAATTACGAACTCGCTTATAGACGCCATATTGATATTGTGGATCAAGACTCAAGAGCCGCCCACCAAGAGACTCTGTGGTGTGTTTCTGCAAACAGCACAGGGCGTGCGCGCGGTGTACTTGTGAGTTGTGTGTTGCAGATGAGCATTTCACCGGCATTTACAGGTGATTATAGGCAAAATAGAGTAGAGCTACATTAAGACTTTGGTAGTAATGTAAGGGGTCAACACCGCCACAT